AGGGCGAACGGGCAAGCGGACAGGCGTTCGACTGGCAGCATGGTAGAGCGGGGTAAAGGAGGGTGCGTAAGTACGGGAGAGAGAGAGAGGGAGAGAGAGAGGGAGAGAGAGAGAGAGAGAGAGAGAGAGGGAGAGAGAGAGAGAGGTTGTGAACAGCGCTTAAAGCGCGCCTCACTCTTCGTCGCGCGGTTCCCCGCCAACGATGGCGTATTTTACAAAGTCCGTGGGGTGCTTCCGGTAAGCCCCGTAGCCAGCGGCACTTTCTCGGCTCCTTCGCGGCGCTATCGGTCGCACGCCAGGGGCGAACACAGTGGCGGCTTCGGAGGCGATAAGGTCCACAGTCCATCCCCACCCCTTAAGCGCGCCGTTACACCTCGGTTTGTGCCTCTCTTTTCATGGTAAGAGAAAGAGAAAGAGAGAAAAAGATATATATATATATATATATATATATATATATATATATATAGAGAGAGAGAGAGAGAGAGAGAGAGAGAAAGAGAACAAGAAAGAGGGAGAGAAAGAGTGAGACAGAGAGGGGATAGCACGAACCGGAGGAAACAACGACAGCGACGATGCCGGGGCAACATCGAAACAAGGGCGGAGGAGAAGTTGGAGGGGGAAGACATCACGGCGGACAAGGCCGCCATATTGAATCACTTCGGTTAATTTTTGCGTAGGGGAAGCAACGAACGAGTGAACGAGCTCTACATAACTAGAAAGAGATTAAGATAGTTAGAAAGAAGAATAATATAGAATAAGGATATAGTACGAGAGAGAGGAAGGAAGGGTTTTCGTCTGGTAATCTTTAAAAACGTAAACGGAAGTGCGTAAAAAAAGGAAAATATCGCTCAGTGGATTCTTTCTCGTGTTTACGGATCCCGTGCTGTGAAACGATAAAGGACGATTTTCGTGCCTCCTATCTCGTTTTCTTTCACTATCCTTTTCTCTCTCTTCTCTCTTTCTCTCTCTCCCTCTCTCCCTCTCCCCTTTCTCTCTTTCCCTCTCTCTCTCTCTTTTTCTCTCTCTATCTATCTATCTCTTTCTATCCTTTTCCATTCGTGGTTGGAAGAAACGCGCGTAAGAGAGCGCGTAAAGCGAGCGAACGAGCAGCAGCAGCAACAGCAGCGGCGACGACGACGACAACGACGACGACGACGGCGGCGGCGTGGCGCTGCTTTGGCTGCCGTCCTCCGTTCATCCGTCCGTCTGTCCGTCGACCAGTTTGTCCATCAGCCTGTCGGTCTGTCGATCCTCTCTCTTTCTCACTTCTGGCAGTTAGGCGCGCCGCGCGGCGCGACGCGATGAACGACCTAGCGATGCGCGAGCACGCACGGAAGAGATTCACGCGCGGAAATTCTATGTGCACGACGTTCACGACGAGAACGACGACGACGACGATGATGATGACAACGATGAAAACGATGATCACTGGACGATGAAGTGTGTTTTGTGTATTATATTTTATATATAGTATATATTATTATATATATATACACCATATATATATATATATATCTATATCTATATATCTATCTTGACTAAGAGACGAAAACGATCGTATATAGCAAGCGAGCGCGCTTGTACGTGTGTGTATGTGTATATGTATGTGTATATTTCTCTCCGCTTAGTGTACCGTCGCTTTTGTAGAGAAGAGTGTACGTGCATGTTTAGTTACGTACATGTGTTCGTGCAACGTGTAAGGAAGATACTGTATATGAACGATTCTGAATCATTGTGTCCGTTTTATTATTGCCGTCTCGTTGTATCTTAAAAACAAACGAATATCACGATTACTGTGTGATACGGTGGTTTAAAATTTCTTTTAAGAAGAAGAAAAATTAGAAAATAATTGTGACTGGAAGGAACATCGACCTATCGACCGATCGACCGACCGACCAACCAACCAACCGACCAACCAACCGACCGGCAGCAGCCAGGTCCCTTTGCGTTAATTGTTCGTCGTCTACCTGTTCCCTTACGTCCTTTCTGTAAATCGATTTACAACATACTCCTCTCTCTCTCTCTCTTTTTCTCTTTCTCTGTGTGTGTGTGTGTGTGTGTGTATGTACGTACGTATATAAGGGATTATCGAGAGCAAGGACAAGACTGGTCGAGAAGAAATTTTCAGGTATATATTACTATTGATATTATTAAATTTTTCATTTCCCTATGCTATAGTCACTCCGCTGTGTTTCTCTTTCATTGTATTATTTGGGAATGAATAGGGACTGAGCAGAATGAATTTTCAGGTAAAGTTTTATGATTCAGGTAAATTTCTTATACCTCAGGTAGTTTTGGCATTTTTCATACTTTTACATTTTTATTATTTTACCAATATTTCTGCTATTACTTACTATCACAACTATTAATAATATTTATAGTATTAGTACTATTATTATTAGTAATACTAGTAGCACTAGTACTATTAGTATTAGTACTATTACTATTAATGCTAGTATTACCAGGAACGCTGGAAAAAAGTGGTCCTGGCAAGGAACGCTCGTTATGTATACACAACGGAACGGCCGAGATGGCGAGCAGCGTTACTCTCGAAAATGGAGTAGATTCGACGATTGTTTTAAGTTGACCAACCGCGCAAGGCCGATCTCGTGGTCAAGAGTCACGCGTTATACGATTTCCTCTCTCTCTCTCTCTCTCTGTCTCTCTCTCTTTCTCTATCTCCCTCTCTTTCTCTTTCTCTCAACATACCCTATCGCCATTCCCTCTATGTTTTTCTTTATCTACAAGAAATTTTTCTTTTCTTTTCGGTAAAGAAAAGAAATATCGAAAAGTTCGATAGAATTTCATCCTTCGTGCGGTTTAGGGTCGTCCTTGAATCCTCGCACTCTTTGGAAGTTTCTTTCCCCTTCCCTCGTTATTCTCTCACGCAGTCTACGGTCGATGTACGATCGTAAAATGTCCGCGATACTCCGCATCGATATCACCGGACAAACTCGCCAATTCTCCTTACATATATATATATATATATATATATATATATATATATATATATATATACATACATATATATATATACATATATATATATATCTTTCGATCTTCGACGTCCCCTTTTCTACCTTAACGTTGCATGCTTTCGAAACTTTCGCTTTCGAAATCGATGCCAATTGGAAGATTTTTTTTTTTTACTCTCTAGGTTAGGTGGAAAAACAAAGTAAGATCGGTTCATTAACCGCGTTACTCTATTCGAAAATTTCGAAAATGTACAAAATCAGATTTTTTTTTTTTTTTTTTTTTTTTTTTTTTTTTTTTTTTTTTGTAACGTAAAGTCGTCGTTCGAAGCGGTTAACTTCGTTTCGTGAGAAATTATTACGAAATTGAAAAAATATATATCACCCATCAGTCCACTGATATGGCAGAGAGAAAGAGAGAGAGAGAGAGAAAGAGAGATATGTGTCGTCATTTCGAGCGAATTGGGAAGCGTGTTACGGTTTTGGACAAAGGTCACGTGACGTCTATAAGCCAAGAGAAGCGGGAGATCCAAACTATAATTGAGTATCTTTATTTTCTCTCGTTTCAATTGACACAAAAGCTACGGACAATGAAGGACTACTATAGCCTACGGCTATTGCTAGGAATTATACGATGACGATAACGACAAAAACAAAAACAAAAATAAAAACAACAACAACAACAACAATAATAATAACAACGGACAAGGAGACCGAATACTATATAGCTGTTCGTTTAATTATCGGACTTTCCTCTCGACTCGCGAGACACGACACGCTCGTTTCTACGCGCGCACCTTCGGGCACGGAAAGAAAGGCGGAAGAAGAGAAATAGATGTCGCGAACAGAGGTCGCGCTTTTCGTCGCGACCGAGGTGAAATCGTGAGAAGGGGGAGGGAGCGAGAGGAAAGCGAGGGGGGTAGAGAGAGAGAGAGAGAGAGAGAGAGAGAGATGCGTGAACGGATAGCAAATTCGTTGGAAAACCGTTGCACACACTCCTCTCTTCTCTGCGCGCTCGTCCTCGTAACGTTGCTGCTGCTCTCTCGCAAGCTAGCAGTGGGGAAGGCCCAGGCGAAAAATCGATTTCCCGTAGGGCAGAAGGGCATCCGAGTAGGCGGTAGGGAAGGGGCAGGCAAGGACGAGGGCAGGGGAAAGGTACACTGAGACGAAATTCGGGAAAATCCGCAGAGAGAGAGAAAGAGAGAGAGAGAGAGAGCGAGCAAGAGTGGGAGTAGGAGAAGTAGTAGAGTAGTACGATGAGGACGTGGTGGCGAAGGAGAGGAGTCGAGAGTGGTGGAAGGTGTTGCGGTGAGGGGTAGAGAGAGAAAGAGGGAGAGAGAAAGAGAGGGAGAGAGGGACAAACAGACAGAGACAAATATATTGCTTTCCAGCGCGATTCCGGTGCCACTACCACTATAGGATGTCGACGAGTACGCGCGTGTGTGGGTGAGTAGCCGAGTCTCGTTTGCGGTAAGGGGTAGACGGTATGTGTTTAGACGGGGTGGGAGGAGAAATAATTAATGTGCGAGCGTACCCTCTCCCCTCGGGGTACTACGATGAGGAGGAGGAGGAGGAAGAGGTGGTGGTAGAGGTGGAGGTGGAGACAACCCCTCTCCCCTTCCACGTTCTTATACCGCTACGCTTAGAGCTGCCATTGTGCGGAGACGCCGCTTTCGAAGCATTGAGTTTGATTCTTCTCGATCGCGATTCGTAAGGTATACCCGCGAGAGACGAACGAATCTAAACGGTGCGAGAGAGAAAGAGAGAGAGAGAGAGTCAGTGAGTGAGTGAGTGAATAGAGTGGAGTGAGAGAGAAAGAGAGAGAGAAAGGGAGAGAGAGAGAGAGACAGAAAGAGAGCGGCATAAACGCGCGCGCGCTTATCTACTTCTTGTCGAACAGAACCCGGGACACGTCGCGCATCGATATCTTCTTCGAAGGAATCGCGTTGTGCGACACCATGTACACTATCGCTTAGCTCTTCATCGACGAGAAAACTAAAAAGGTTAGGTTAGAATTCTACATCTGCGAATACACATCTCTCTCTCTCTCTCTCTCTCACACACACACACACTCTCTCTCTCTTTCTCTCTCTCTCTTTCTCTCTCTCTCTTTCTCTCTCTCTCTCTTTCTCTCTCTCTTTTTCTCTCCTCCTTTCTCACTCTTTCCTTTTCTTGTGTGCTAACTCAGCGATTTGCTTCGCTTTCCACATTTCAATTTAGTCGTCCTACTCTTCGTCTTCGTTTTTATCATGATATTTTCGTCTCTTGCAAGATCGTGTCAACCGTGTGCGTTATCTCTTCGCATATAATTTTCTTACATTTTGGAGGCTATTCGTGCGTAAATAACTAGGGCTTTACGAAAATTTGTGTTTTATTGAACACATATGATTATAAAAATAATGCTCGTATAATTATTTCCATTTTTTTTCGAACTGTTCGAATAACCACAAACGTCAATCGTGTATTGGAATATTACGTATATCAGTCAATTTACGTAATTGCTCGCCACTTGTTTCTTACCATACCACGAAAATATTCATTCTAACTAGAATATTGTTAATTTGCGCACGTGTGTCTATTACTGATAAATATACGTTTTGCAGATACCCAGTGGTCGAAGGAATGGAAACCATGGAGTTAGATGGTGATGCTGTAGTTGATCTGAGCGTAAGGTAAACAAACTTCCATTAGAACTTCTATATTTAGTTAAAAAAAATTTAGCAATCGATAACAAGATTTATATCATTGATAGTTTTCATTGTAGAAGCATAGTAAGAATAGAATGCGCAGTGATAAATAAAAACATATAAGATCTTTTACGAAACTTATTATTTGTATTTTAGCAGCAGTGGCAGAAGAAATTCCCCATCTATAAATACTAATTCAGGTGATGCAGGGGTGCCCTTGGATCTTGGAGTTCATTTCTCTGCAAGTTCTAATTTAGAAAGTAATATGCCAGAAGCACGGAACATTCAAAATGCAGCAAGAGGCATATTGGCTCCAAAATCAGGAGATGATCGGAGGACTCGTCGTAATCTTAGACCAAGAATTGAAAGAAGTTATGCGGAGAGTCCTGATGAGCCTAGAATAAATGGATATCTAAATGGAAATACGTCGGATAGCGATGAAGGTTAGGTCTTCTTTTATCTATTGAACAGGTCTACAATGCTATAGAGAGATTTTTTTAATAGGTCGAATGACAAATAATATTCCTTCAAACACAGCTGATATGCCACCATTGCTTCCAATCAAAGAACTATCTTCAGATGAATTGGCTGAACGTGAAAGGACATTGAGAAAACTGAAGGAGGAGCTGCGTTCTGAGGAAATGAAATTGGTACTGTTAAAAAAGCTGAGACAGTCTCAACAATTAAAAGAGAATATTGCGGCAGTTCCTAAGGTTCCCAGCAAATTACCACCGCCAGTAACAGTACAACCAACACCTCATGGGTAAAACTCTACTGCAATGTTTTCTTCCAAGAATATGGTTTTATATATTGCCATGTTAAATTGGGATAACAATGGTTTACAGGCATAGAACAGGGAAAGCACCACCGCCATTACTGAGAGGGCAACCAGCACCAAGTAGAAGTAGTAGTCTTCATGCACCACCACCTGGAATGTTATTACCACCTACAACTGGACGAAGTTCTACTTCAAGTACTGGAATGCCTCCTAACATGGTAATACCTCAACCACCGCATCCTCGGAGTAGACCACCTAGTGCAACGCCAAGTGTGCCAACTTATCATGCTCCAGCTGATAGAACTGAACGCTCCACAAAAGATCCTACCCCTACACCAGCACATCAAGTAAGTAAAATGTTTATCATCATAATTTATCACAAGGATTATGTTTCAATTGACATCTTAATGTAAAACTAATGGCAATTCAAATATCTTATATAATGTAAATAATTTATACAAATTTTACAACATAAAAGTATTGAACGATTAAAAAAAATTGCCAGTAGTTTATAACATGCGTCTATAGTTATATATAAATGATATTTTCATATGAATAACAATAAAATTATTATAAATTCAAAGCTGCTTGTTGGATCTCAAGAAAATAAAACCACAGCATCTTTAAATACGCCCGTAATTTCGGAACAGGTATATCCATTGTCTGACCTATACTCGCTGTATGATCAGATTGACTTTTTGCAACTCTTATACAATTTCTACCTGTCCTCCTTTCTGCTCTTATGCTGTATGTGTGTTCTTTTTTTTCTGCTTATTGATCTTCATTTTAATTCTATAATGTTTTTAACAAAAGCTTTTATATATATCAGCCTGAAAATTATAGCTAAATAGAATTTTATGATATTGCATCATTAATATGTTATCACAATAAAATATGAATGCTATTGGATTTTGTACTATGTTTAGAGCTAATAATGTGTTATGAATATATAGGATAGATCCAGAGAGGATAATCAAACTCCCGCACAGCGGCAGGCTGCTGCTAAGTTGGCTTTAAGAAAACAACTGGAGAAAACTCTTTTGCAAATACCACCACCGAAACCTCCACCACCGGAAATGCATTTTGTACCGAATCCTTCGAACACAGAGTTTATTTATCTGGTTGGCTTGGAGCATGTGGTTGATTTTATTACGAAAGAACCTGCTATACCCCCTCCTCCTGAGCCGTTTGAATGTACACAGTGTAAAACAGACTTTACGCCTGTTTGGAAGTGGGAAAAACCAGTAGGTAGTGGCAAAAAAGAAGGTCCACGTGGACAGCATGCCACATTCCAACGCCCTCCAGCAGGTCGAGATCCTAGAGTCATCTGTGAACATTGTGTGACATCCAATGTCAAGAAAGCTCTTAAAGCAGAGCATACAAATCGGTGAGTATTCTTTTTACGTTTATCGATACTTTTCATCATGAAAAAAATTATAATGAAATGTTCTATCGCATTTTACAGATTAAAGACTGCTTTTGTAAAAGCTCTACAACAAGAGCAAGAAATTGAACAAAGGCTTGCTCAAGCAGCATGTCCAAGTCCAGATCCACCAGCTCCAAAAGTAGTCCCAAAAGCAGCTACTCCTACAAGAAGAATAGCGACACCTCCTGCTCCTCCTCCTCAGGTGCCACCGGCACCTACGCTTACACCAACACCACCTGCGCCTAAACTGCAGGAACATCCATTAGTTAAACTGGCCGAAAGTGGAAAGTTTAGCCCTCATCATGCGGCTACTGCAGCTGCTTTACAACAGCAATTGTTAAGAGGTAAATAAATTTAATTTTCCAATTTTCATTCTACAATAATTTTTCGTTTAACTATATATATTATTTATTCTTCTTACAATATAATTAATTATTCTTACAATTTAATTTATTTGATTTATTTCAGAACTGGCAAAGAATCCTGTAGCAGGGTTACCACATCAACCTCTTCCCGCGCACATGATGCCACCGTTCACCTCGATATTATATCCGTATCAACTCGCAATGGCACAGGCTACTGGAGGTAAAGGCCTCGTTGAATTGCAACGGCAAGCAGCGGATCTTCAACGTCAGTACCTGCTCGATATGATTCCATCGCAAGCATCACAAGCACAGGGCAATCAAGCTCCACCAAGAGCTCATCCGCATAATTGGAAAACGTAACCGGACGCATTTAAAGAGCGAACAATAAATACAAGTAAATAATTACAATACACGGAATATCGAAGTAATTGAGGAACGAGGAAAAGTTTCATGATTATTAAAGAGAGACGATATATCGCAAAATGTCATGCCGTTGTGATTTGGAATATTGTGATATACCGATACGTTATTGGTAAATCGCTCATAAAATGATCAGTTCGGGAAAGATAGTAATCCAAGAGACGTATGTAAAATTTACGAGAAACTCTTCGTGTAATGAATTCACGTTCTATTTCTAATCATTGAATGATTGTAATGGTTTAACTTGTTTCAACGTTCGTAAGTGTGGACAATGAAACCTTGATGATCAATTGAAGAGCAACAGTACGTTTTAAACATTAACACCACAAGCAGTGTTTCCTTTTGATATTATCCTGCATCGATATTGAATAATTTTATCGGACAAAAGCAGATAAAGATGGATCTTAATACGTAATGTCCATAACGTATATAATATCTGAAGTAATGTGAAGATAAGGAAAATAAATGAACACTTGTAGTAAGGCACTAAAGAGACAGTATATGAAAATATCGATGCATCGATTAAAAGTAATAATCTGCGTTAATAGATGTGGAAAATGATCGCGTTGCGAATAACTAAAGTTGAAGGAAAGAATCTTTCTAGGCTCTTATAGTTAAGCCGATCTTGGCCGTTGGATTGAATAAATCATTATAACCAGCGGCGGTACCTGTACTCTGTGTATATCTTTATTTTCTTCAACTGTGAGTATTTTTAAGGTGAATATAATGCATGTGTGAGATAGAAATAGATAGAGATAGAGAAAAAGAGAGCAAGTGAACGTCAGAGAAAAAGAGAGAGAGAGAGAGAGAGAGTGAATTACAATTATAATTATGAATAATAATCATTTGCAAGGAAGCGTGTGAAAGAATAAGCGAATGTATGAGCGATAAGAAAAATTCTTTTTGCCGATACGTGGCAGAGTATGTGCACACACATCGACATGTTTTTAATAGAATGACGCCAGTGTCATTCGCGCACAAATCGAATAGGAATGTCTATGTATGACAAATCGGCTAAAATGTTTTTTTTTTTTATTTTTTTTCTTTTTTTTTTTTTTTTTTTTTTTTCTCTGTATTAAGAGGTACATCAAGGCGACATTGTGACTCGATAAAATTTTTTCTATAAGTATAATATACATAAATACGACTAAACGAATTCGATTTAGAGAAAAGAATGTACTGATGAAGATTAAGATTTTCACAGCACGATTGATTTGATGTGCCACAATTCATGTAAAGATATTAAAATCAACAGGACGTGTGCATTAATTGCAATTTTTCGAAGCGTTAAAGGCGCTAGATATAAAAGGAAGGAAAAGAAAAGAAGAAAAAAAAAAAGAAAAAAGAAAAAAAAAATAATAAGATCCGAATTTTTACTATCCTCTGCAAAAAAAAAACGGAAAAAAAAAAGTTTGCACATAACAGTTAAACCCTCTGGCACTCATCCCGAGCAATACTATTAATTATTATCACCTTCGCTAATAGCCTAATTTCTATGACTCTGGCTAACAAATCTCGGTCATACATTTCTGAATCAATAAATAAATAGTACTATACTGTAGTCTTGATATTTCTCGGTATTATGATACAAGTTAATAAACTAAAATAGCATAATCATCTCTCTTTGTATTACGTGATAGGTTTTGAGCTCGTACTGATATACATGTACACCGTAATAAGTCTACGATCGCATAATAGATCAAGATCTGTGTTTTTTGTGTAAGAGAATCGAAAGAATATGTCGTTGTCAACCTGCACTGTCGCCAATGGTACCACTGCTGCCACCTTTCTACCATCGATGAAGGTTCTTTCAAATCAGCGTCGCAGCAAAGAGAGGAGAAAGGGAGAACACGATTTATATTTACATATATACGCAGCCAAAAATGTAGTTTTAATGCTGCGCATTTACTATCCTATAAAATTAATATTAAATAATTTGTAAATTTATAATTTCTTTTCTCTTCTTTTTTCTTTCTTTTTTTTTCTTTTTCTTTTTCTTTTTCTTTTAATTTTTTTTTTTTTTTTAACAATTGATTAGAAAAAAACTAAAGTTTTATAAAACATACAAATGAACGTGATGATTTATCGTTCCAATTCTCGCTTTCTCCCATTCCCTGCGAGAGGATTATTTTTTAATAATAAAGATGTTTTTAATTAAATGCGTGATCCTTAAATAATAAGACGATTTTGATGTAATTTAAAAAGATTCATTGATAATAAGTACGTACTACGATTGGTAGGATGCAATTAAGATCTTATTCTGTACTAATTCATTTAATTTCTTTTGTTTTGTTTTATATTTTTCATTTGACTTTCTTTCTTTCTTTTTTTTTTTTTTTTTTTTTTTTTTTTTTTTTTTTTTTTTTTTTTTTTTTTTTTTTTTTTCGTTCTTTCTCTTTTGCAAGGAAGAATAATTTCTTGCTTTTCTATATTGTCTTCCTTTTACTTTTTTTTTTTTTTTTTTTTTTTTTTTCCCCTTTCCTTCTAGTCTGAATTTTTGGCTCTACGTGATGGTGCTGTTAGAAAATAAGCACTTGTGAAAGCGCAGAGAAATCTTTGTATTCGACAAATGTGATGGTTTTAACACCAAAAAAAAAAAAAGAAAAAAAAAGAAAGAAAGAGAGAAAAGAAAAGAAACAAAAAGAACAACAAAATATTTGTAAACCGACGCTGAAATGTAAGATAATGTGCGAACGTGTGTAACCATATGCCATAATTGCATTAGGCAGTACACGATGGCGGCTAAAACGAACGAACGGTATCGCAGGATTAGGATTTTAATGTATTCTTCAAAAGCGCTATACAATCGAAAGCTTCATGGGAGAAAGGGAAGGAGGAGGGAGGGGGATGCAGACTTAAAACCAAAAAAAAAAAGAAAAAGAAAAAAGAAATCAGAAATCAGAAATCAGATTATAAAATATAAAGCTCTCGAAAACAAAACTACGTCGGCCGGTTATCGAGATTGCGTTACGATACGATGAACGTACGAAATCTTTTGAGAAGCGACACGTCGTTGAAAAAAAAAAAAAAAAAAGAAAATAAAAAAAAAAGAAAGGAAAAACAATAGAAAGAAAGGGAAAATCTTGTCCAGTCCAAAATTCGTATTTCGGTCTCTAAATGAAATGTAGGCGTATAAAACGCAGACGAACGATTCTGCCCCCATAAACTTATATAATTAGTGATTACGGATTACTGAATAGTCTGAAAATAACACGAATAAAGCTTGTCAATGATTGTACCTAAGAGTAATTGATATATTCATTTATATTATATTATATGTATACTTATACATATACATACCAACACAAGCACGTACCACACACGTACACATTAAAAAGTATCTCAAAAAAAAAAAAAAAAAAAAAAAAAAAAGAAAAAAAAAATAGAAAAAAAAATAGAAAAAAGAAAAAAAAAGGAATTACCGATAAAAGTGAAAGTCACTTGACTAACAAGTATTTAATCTTTTCGTCTCTGATCATCAAATAAGACTGTTTAACTATAGTTTACAACTTGACATTGTTCGCGATTTAGTTTACCGGAGTATATTTTAAGACCATGACGATTTATAGTTAGAGACGGGTAAAGATCTCTTGTAAGTTTTTACTACTAACGTAATTCACGTATATATATATATGTATATATACATGCATACATATATATATATATATATACATATAAAACAGTTAACGATTGAAATATATTGTGTACTTAATAGCCGACACAATACTCTCTCGATGCTTAAATCCAAAATCCCGCATATTTACAATATATTTGTATCTCTCTCTGTTTGAAACTTTTATCATTTAAAAATTTATGATATTACATAATGTCTCCCATTTGCGAGCTAACATTGGAGAAACTCATAAAATTGTTTTTTTTTTTTTTTTTCCACTATTATTATCGTTTTTGTCTTTTTACGTTTACTATTAAAAGAAATTTATTTTCAATGCAATGAATAAGATGATAAGATCTATTTTATTAAGAACTTTATTTTCAAAATTTACATATACATATATTATACGACTCTAATAGTTATTCTGAAAAAGTAGCTTTAATCCAGGCAACTTTTATTACGATAATTTGATTACTTTTCTAACGAAAATTTTCTCGAGGAAAGAGCAAACAGGACCTGTTTAACCAGGTTCACGAATGTATATATCTATGTTACGTATATGTATACCGGGTGTTTGATTTTAAATGTTATGATCAAATATCTCCTATATTCTATGAGTTTTATAAAGAAATGTTTTATATAAAATTAATTGAATTTTAATGAGGTGGGTAAACACTGTAATATTTATTGCATTTATCTCATAGGGAATACTTTTGTCAATACATGGAACTCGTAACAATTTTTTTTTTTTTGAATGGATATTTTGAGCCCAACAAAAATTATAGGGAATTTCGATAAAATTCCAACGAGCACCTAACAAACTTTCGCGATAATACAATTTATTTTTTTCTAAGAATCTGATAGTCAATGAATTCGTCAACAAATTTTCTTTTTCTTGTTTATTTACTCATCTATTTCTTTCTTTTTTTTTTTATTTTTGAACTTGTAATCATTTTAAGCGCAGTGCTTTTCAATAATCATAAAAAAATTTTATCATCATTAAAGAATTCATTAAATTTCGAAGGCGTCATAATTCAATGAAATATCGATAAATTGTAAAGATTTATTTCTTTAGAATCTTATTGATATTTTCAACAATTTTTGTTACTTTCGAAACATCGATTTCTGTAAAAAAAGAAAAAAAAAAAAAAAAAATATGTCTCGCATATACCTATAATGAAATAGCTGCAGTAAATATTGTATTTTCACTTGAAAATTTGATAATTTAAAAATTTATAAAATCAATAAGATCGAAGATATTTGGCCATATCGTTTAAAATAAGATACCCTATATATATATATATATATATATATATATATATATATGTTTAGAAACCTGATGTAAATAGATTTGATTATGCAATGGACGGTTGAAATATACTATACTATCTTTCTTTTATAAATTTAATCGTCTAACATTCGTTATAATTTAACGACATTATAGTAATATATATATCGAGTATTTATTTATTCCCATTATAAATATGATAACGATAATAAAAAATGGACGGTTTCGTTAAAAAATTATAATCTAAAAAAAATAGAGAGAAAGAGAGAGAGAGAGAGAGAAAGAGAGAGAGAGAGTTAAATATGATTGACCTTTACGTTAATTTCTTTTGATTCATTTGATTTGTACACTTTTTAAAGTGCTTAGAACAAAATGGATAAAGAGTGGGATGATCGCACGTTCTACAAGCAGCCGCAAGATGTGAGCAACATCTGAGACTCTCACGACAACATGATGCCCATAAATCGGGACCTGCTGCGGCACAATTGTGACAATAACAGTCTCCTGAAAACAAAAAAAAGAAAATATATATATATATATATATGTATATATACATATATATATATTCTACACATACAAGTATACAGTTTAGCATTGAAATATCATTAAGTTAGATAAATTTTTGAATTTAAGATTTTTTTACAAAACAAAATAATATAAAGACACATTTAATAGAAATCCATTTTTTATATAATATTTCTCAATCACGATTACTATAATGAGCAAAATTTTGTACTGAAATTTTTTACAAATTCACCTAAAAGCATATATTCATTTTCAAGGATATTTTTGTCAATTTCAAGCTCTGAACTTTTTATACCTGTGTTTTTGTCACGATGATATATATACAAAGAGAGAGAGAGACAGAAAAGGAAAAATATTCCACCACATATACATACACACATATATACAAATTCTTTGTATTTGATCTTTAAAGTTTAAATTAGGTTAAAACTATAGTTCGAACTTTTTGAATCGTAAGTGGATGTAACATATGGGACGTAGATTTGCATAAAAAAAAAGGAACCATTAAAAAACCAATAAAAAAAAAAAAAAGAAGAAGAAGAATGAAAAGAAAAGAAAAAAAAAGAAAAGAAAAAGAAAAAAGAGTTAAAAATTATCTCTCATGTCACGTATATCGCACGTGGAATTTTTCGCCGATTTACGAAACTGCTCTTAAATCTACATAGATACATAACTTGCGCTTACATTTGTATATGTGTGTGCGCGTGTACACATACACAAATGTAAGTATATATATTACATATATACGTATATATATAATTTATACGTATGCATATGTAAAATTAAATAATACAATGATTCCAATCATTGATCATTGAAGAAGTATCATCCGTCGTTTCTTTGTTCTCTTGTACAGAATCCGTACAATTTCACTTTTAAATTTATTCAGAAGAATAATTTATTTAAAACTAGTGGGCAGAGAGAAAGAGAGACAGAAAGAAAGAGAATGCTTGAGAATGTGATAGTCGCTTGCATTTATAATACGATACGCCTTTACGTGAAAATATACTTTGAATATGGTTACCTATATCGATGGGCGTTGTCCGAATGTTTCAAGCTCTCTTATATGTATACATACATATATACATACATAGATACTATACGTATGTATATATATATACTAATTGAAATCGTGTTAAGTAACAAGCGAAAAGCATTGCGCGTCCGTTTTATTTCCCGCGTAACGATGTAAAATAAAACCGGACACGTGAGAGGGGAAAATTTTTTGTTACAGATAAAACGATAGATAAGAAGAAAATCGAAAATGTGAATGAGATAATGAATTATTATATTTTTGTTGCCTCTTCTTTTTTTTTCTTTTTTTTTTTCTTCTTTTTTTTTTTTTTTTTGCAATTATAAATTTCTTTTTAATCCGTACACTTTTTTCCCCGTTATGATACTCGTCTCGCGCGTGTCATTGAATTAAAACAGAAATACATAATACTTTATGGGAGTGGCTATTGTCCTTGACAATAGCTTTTTGCATTGCAACGTAACGTCATTTCTTTTCTTTTACTTTTCTTTTCTTTTCTTTTCTTTTTTTTTTTTGTCATAATCAAAATTGAAAGGATATATACATCCCGTTAAATCGATTAAGAATTTCATTCGTTAAGTTTCATTAGGATAAGAAAATTACTATATATATATATACACAGAGAGAAAGAGAGAGATAGAGAGAGAGAGAGAGAGAGAGAGAGAGAGAGAGAGAGAGAGAGACAGTTCTTAGTATTAATTATTAATTAATTAATATTAATACAAATAACTGTATAATATAATTAATTTATTACCTTCCGGACAATCGACGGATCTACGAGCTTCCGCCCTTCTACATTCGAGACCTTCCTCACCTTTAGGACAAGACGTCGAGGATTCCTCGATCGAATTCTCACCTAATAAAGTATTAATCTGAAAACAATATTAAAGACAAGCAATTAATTTTCGTTAGATAGAAAATCTTCGTCTTTGTAAGATTTTCTTTTCTTTCTTTTTTTTTTTTTTTTTTTTCTTTTTCTTTTATTTTCACATCGATCGTTTGTTTGTGCATATCACACGAAGAGATCGACATTTCTAGTTTAACGTCGATGTTGCAAAAATACCAATTGACATTTTCCTACATATGGAACGTAAGTACCAATGTTCGACCACACACCGTCCCGTCGTTTTTCCTATTACAGATTGTCGCTTTTTCCTCTCTTTTTCCTTTTTTCCTTCTTTTCTTTTTCTTTTTTTCTTTTTTTTCTTTTTTTTCTTTTTTTTTTTTATTATTTTTTTTTTCTTTTTTTTTTCTTTTTTTTTCTTCACGAACGCAATCGAAAAAGGAAGAGTCCAAATGTAACGCTTCGCAACGATTCATTAAACAATTACAATTTTTTGCTTTTTCTTATCTTTAAAACATTATGAAGAATAAAGGGGAAAAAAAGGAAAAGAAGAAAGAAAAAAAATATGTGTATATATATATATATACAAGATTACGCTGTATTGGTCTATTTACTATTAAATGTTAACTGGTCTTAAAACAATTTCGATTCGATCAATTACAAAGGTATTCCTATCTTGTTTCGTAGGAATTCTTTCGATTGGAAAAAAGCGCGGGAGAACATATATATATATATATTATGCATACATATGTATATATATGTATATATATATATTTTTTTTTTTTAAATTAACGATATGTTTTCTCGAATAGGGAAACTTATCGTACGTCGTGAAATCAAGATATTCTGCGCACTTTCTCGTACATATGTACATGAATACATATATATATATATATATATATACACTAATGTGCGATATCTTTTCCTCTTACCCGTTTAAACGCTCCCGGCTTGGAAAACATTCTGACCAATTTTGCGAGCGCATCTTCGGTATGCGTTTGTTCCGTAACGTCGGTTACGTTATCCGTGCACTGATAACGATTGATTAACGTAACAATAAATAGGCACATGAATGTAGCCCGGAACGACATATTGCAAAGTATAAAACTTAAGCTTCGGTACGGCACAAATTTAAATCGCGACTGAACAGGTGATTGAGAGAAGTGTCCTACTACTTTAGATATCTCTCTCTCTCTCTCTCTCTCTCTCTCTCTCTCTCTTTTCTCTCTCTGTCGACAATTCACTTTCTGGTGGGGGATACACTGTCTCACTTATATATACTTACATATGTGCGGACGGATAAGACGTTCTTTTACGTTTCATATAATTTCAAAACAATTATCTAACTATGATATCAATTAAGGTGTACGAATATTTTTCAATCAGTCGAAAATTCGACAAATCGAAGTGACAATATTTATTATTATCTTACATACGTTTTTAATATTACATTAATGATTAATCATTATAATTGATGTCGAGGAATGACGTTGAAAGATCGTTTCTGTTGCATAAGAATTCGATCGGTGGGGGGGGGAAGAAAAAAAAAGAGAAAAGAAAAAAAAAGAAAATTCGCGTAATATTAACCTCTTGAAATTTTTGACACAATTTCTACGATGAGAAGAGGGAGAAAAGAAGTATTTGCGTAATTTAAAAAATTTATTGATTAATTCTTTTTCGATTTTTTGCAGAATCAATTGCCACATTAAGCAAGAAATTTACGTTCTGTTTGTGCGTAGTTGAAAGAAATTAAAAAGAAAAAGAAAAAAGAAAGGTTATTAAAGTTATCACACATAAAAAAAAAATATATATATATATACACATAGATCTATAACGATCGATGACATCACATTATTTGAAAACAGCAATTTATTGGGGTTAGTATTTTAAACATTTTTAATTAATTTTTAATTATTCTTATTTAAAATAATAAAAATTGAATGGTCAAAATTGATTATATAATATCAATATGCAATATAAGTCATCAATATTATGCTGATGCAAACCCAGGCACTTAATTATTTAATTCACCAAACTATTTATACCGATGATTTAATTTTCCAATATACTTATCATTAAGTTAATAATAATACTGATCGAATAAATTTAAGCGTCATTTTAAAGTTTTAATAATATAGATTTGATTTCCTAATAACAAAATTATCAGAAATAACTTTTCATCTTTTCAACGAACGATTAATATTGAAATATCCTTTGTCGATAATCATATAACTGTTGTATCTTCGTTCTAGTACTATATAATGAAAAAAAAATGTAAAATATAATTAAATCATTTCGAATCATTTTATTTCGGATCAAATAGAAATCGGCGCGAATGAAATTTTAGAATTGGTAACCTTCAACGAGTGATCAAAAATAAAGAAAAGTGAGAGTACGTCTATTTCGAGATATGAAATAATTGGATTTATCACGTACTTCCTGTTACATCAATGAAGTGCTAATATTGAGTCTTTTTTTTTTGTCTTTTTTTTTTGTATTGAATAAGACGGGAAATCAACAATGCCCGATTGTTATAACGCATCCGACTAGTTTACATTCGTGAAGCCGATCGGCAACATGTCGGTGTTAGCCGAAAGCTTAACACCGACCAATCATCTTTAAGGTGATTAATAACAATTGCATAAATGACATCGGACAATGACACGTTTCAAAATTCAAAGAATGAAGTTTTTTATATTTTTGTCGATCTTTCTACTCGGGCAAATCGCGGTGTGCAGTGGAAGCTTTCGAGAAAGAAATGTCAAGCGTGAATCCTCCGTAGTGAGAAATGTCATAAACGATGACGTTTTATCTTCGTCTATAAGAAAAAAGCGGCATAATGAGGTATCATCATCTTCGTCATTACCATCATCTTCTTCGTCACTGACGAAAGACATCGATGACGGGAAAATGGGCGGGAATGAAAAGCCGCCGACCAACATAACCTATAAACCGCTTGTTGAAGATTCGAATGGAACTATACAAACGACGACATTAATGCCAAAAGAGGTGGGTCGTGTCTAAATCATTATAAATACATTACAAATAATATAAATATTTTTACGACATTAATGTCAAAAGAGATAAATCGTATCTAGATCATTATAAATAATTGCATTACAAATAATATGAATATTTTTACATAGCACATAGCAGAAGGTCATTTAACGTCCTTGAATTCCGGAGCTCTCCTACGTGGCTTTTGCGTCTTCATAGGATTGAGCATTTTGGTCATGGCCTATATCATGTTCCGTAGCTTTAGGTACATTTGTTATTATTATGTATTTTATTATGACTTATGTGGTAACGTTTCTATTATAGTTTTTTGAGTTTAAGAATTTTACAGGTTCAGTAAAACACGTGCACAGATGATTCGAAAGTACGGTATTCTTGCTCATAGGCAAGATGTTGAAATGCGACCATTACCATTAGAAGAAGAAGATGACGAAGATACTACTGTTTTTGATGCCAGCAATGTTTTAACTAATAATGCTCAACATCAAAACTTGTGAAAATGTTTCTGTTAGAAACGTGTCATTTTCTGCGCTTTTATGTATGGTATATTAACAATACGCCTCTTCGATGGTTTTTAAAATCGAACTATTTTTTTTTTTATTAATGGCAATTGTACAAAAACAAGAGAAACAAAATACTTCATAATAGTCTCTTTATTTAACACCATTGACATATTGCTATCAAGAACAGAATATATTTGTGCGTATTGGCTTTTCAATTATTTTGCTATATTGCATTAAATGTATCATTGTCGACAAAATGTTTTTGTCTTTCCAATGCAAATATATATATAATATATATATATATTATCAAATTTGTGGCACCCACTGTTCGTGTATTAATAAAAAATATCGGGTTGCCTAATCTACTACTACACAAAGTAAACTATGTTGTTATAATTAAAATTAAACAAATACAGATTGTCTCTATTTTATTTAATGCTAAACATTTAATAAAAATTATCTATAAAATTTATATATATCTAAATTTCATAAAAACCCATTTTCTACGGCATGAACAATTACATCCGCTAAACGTAATCTTTTCCATTGTGATTCTAATTTTCCTAATGTCCAGACGTCATCTATATTCACTTTTTCATCTCCTTTTATTGTGTCTAAGTCAAATGCTTGTGAGTTATCTAACATAGTAAATGGTAAAGCTTCGATTGCAAAAACTATTCCATAGAAAAATTGTTCTTTCACCTGAAATGAAATTATATATAATATATTTGTTATATTTTCACAAAAAATATTATGTGATCAATAATAACATACTTCTTTCATAAATGTCTCCCATGGATACAATTTTTCTGGATCTGAGCCAAGTGAAGTAATTGTACTACTTAATTTATTGTAATAAATTTTCAACATTTCGTTAAATCGTTCTCTGAGAGCTTTGTCTGTACAAGAATAAATAAAGAATGATAAATCTGTAATTGGACTAACGCAACGTGCCAATTGAAAATCAAGCAAGAGTGCTTCTTTTTTATTTCCTTTGACATCACGCACTAAAACATTTGGTGCCCAAGAATCTCCTTGATTTACAACAGATGTTGGGGCATCACTACAATCACATAATTTATAACACATTTCAATAAGTGATCCAATTTTATAAGAAGTAAAACGCTTTAGTGCTTCACTGTCAGGATATTCAGTAGCTAATGCATCAGTAGCTATTCCCACTAATCGTTTCTAAAAAATTAATTAAAATTTATGTATAAATGAAATAAATGAAGTTTTTATTTAAATAATAATAGTTTTACTTACGTGAAACCTTATATACCAATCCCAGTATTTAGGACTAAAATATGTTTCCTCTAAATGTGATACAATTTCTTTAAATTCTTCTTTATTTTGATCTTTGTATGCAAAAGAAATTGCATGAAAACTAGCAAAAGTTTCCAAAATAACAGTACACTGTTCCATATTTAGACAGTTTTGACGAGTTATAGGACCATATCCTAAGTTACAAACATTTTCCAAAATTAAATAATCATTTTCACCGTCTACAAGTGATTTTAAGAGACGTGGAACACGTAGAATATGAGCTTGATTTTTGCTCTTGAGGAACTGTTCAAACTTTGGTACTATCTAAAAAATAAATTTTAAATCATATTTATTAATAACTTGAAATAATACTTTCGTCATAAAAAAAAAAAATATTAAATATAATTACCTTCGTATAAAATGCCACCTCGTTTCGAAAAAAAATTATACTTCTATAAGTTTTTCTTCTACCTAAATTTTGAGGCAGTGACTTTATCACAATATCAACTTGTACTGGTTTACCTTTAGCAAGACCACACAATTTAACTTTGTTAACAACCGTTAAATAGCTATCACCTTTGACATTTGCGTCACCAAAATCCCAATCCGTTAATTTTACATTAGTTTCATTACATTCTGCTGCAAGTATGCTTTCTAATATCTCTTTAGTAAGTTTTGCACTTATTTCATTTAGCTCCACTAGATTGCCTTTATCACTCATTTTTTAATTTTTTTTCAAGATCAAATAGAAGAAAACTAAATCTTTGTCTGATTCACGAAAGAGCTTATATACCTTTGGCCGTATATTTTTCTTAAGAATGTATAACTGTTTAAAAAGAAGACTTATTATTATCTTTTTTATCTGAATTATTTTATTATCAGTATAATACTACTTACTATGATATTTTCACTTCCATGATAATGTAAGAATGAAAATTTATGAGACCGGAATTTATTTATTTAATTATCAAATAAAAGAATCATTACATAGTGTAAATTTTAATTTAAAAAAAAAATATATATATATATATATTTCCTGTCGAATTCCATAAATTATTTTTCTTTTTAACTCATTTTTACGTACAAGCTCGCAATAACTTTTTTATTTGTTCAAATTTAATTAGTTATTATGTATTATTATTATTATTTCACACAACGTATTAATACATGCTTGTTATTATTACTTAAACCAGTAGCTTTCAATATATATTTCGTAATGCGCAGAAAATTTTTTGAAATTTTATAAGTATCGTGAGTTGAGAATCACTGGCACGAAACCGTTTTTTGCCACAAGCAAGATGTAAAACAAATACTCAGCATTATTACACGAATTCACCATAAATAAACGCCCGCTCTGTATAAGAAAATGTATTTTGTTTATATATTCGCAAAACTGACAGTTACATATAATTATTTTAATAACGGTTTTAAAAAAAGAAAAGAACTGCATAGGACTCATTTCCAAGGATAATGTGAAACAGGACAAAAATGAATAGTTATAAAAAAAAATTACTTACATTCCAAACTGTAGAAAAATTTTACCGAATAGTAATTTTTTTTACAAAATTTCATGAAAAGAGTAACTTCTCCTATGAAGAGAGTAACTTCTCTTATGAAGAGAATAACTTCTTTACTAAATAAATGAGACAACTCTCAATCTATTTAACGAAATACATATACGTCCCTCCTCGATCTATCGCATCTTCATGTGGCGTTTTCTGATTGGTCTTGATATGGTCGATAAAATTTACAATTTTTTCTGCTTGCAAAATTTTTTTACATTTCTTTTATAAGTATAATTTATAAGTATAATTTATATAATTTTTATTCCAATTATATATCGATTGTCAGTTTCTCATTTAGGACGGTATTTTTTTATGAAAAAAAAAACAAAACAATATATATATTATATATATTATATATGCATATATAAATGTAAATTGTATATAGAATATAATTATTTAATAATTTAAATATTGATATATATTTGTTATTATATATATATAAAATATATATATAATATGTATTTATATATTTTGTTATAATCATTTTTAAATAATTTAAAGATAGATAATAAACAGGCACAAATTCTTAATTATTTATTAAAACATTAAAACGATTTATACTTTCTGACGTTTTCTTATCAACATTAGCTATTGCGTTCTTATCTTCATTTCATCAGTATGATATAAGTACATTTTTTAATATTTTATAAAAGAAGATAACAAATCTTTATACTCTTATCATCCTGTAATTACTTTTATTTTTTTATTTAATTGTATTTTTATTTACATATATATTGTCTTTTTGCTTTTTCTTTTCAGTTTTTTCTTTTCTTATTGAAATATAAATCTCACATCAACTTATGACAATACTTTTATACAATAAACATGTAAAATAATTTAATTATGACAAATTTATTGTAATTACAATCATTATATAAAATGAAAGGAAACAAAATTTCTATTCTCTTATCGCAATAATATAAAATAAAAAGAAGGATATAAAATAAAGAAGATAAATCAATTCGAATTAAATGTTATATTATTGTAGATAAAACAGATGTCTCTATCTTCGAATATCTATATGTAATTTGTGTGTACGTATGTATATATATATATATTCTATCGTACCGTGCATCGATATGAAACATTTTTCGCAAGTAAGTAAATAACTAAAATGTTTTTCGAAACTCGATGTCTACCAATGGCCATCTTTAAGATCGTCAGTTTTTTCTGGGGGATATAAAAATACGATCCATAATTTATTACGTTTGTTAGGAGGAACCAGTAGTCGTAAAACCAGTTCTTACGAGAGAGAGATAATAAGAGAGATAGAGAGAGAGAGAAAGAGTGGGAGTGGGTGAGAAATTTTCCCCTTGAGAGGGGAAAATAATCATTTAGCGTTCGCTGCGCCCTCTCGATTATATTTCTCAAGGCGTGCACTACGCCTGCGCATTAAGCTTATAGCAAGCGCCGTAGAGGGTATGACGTATGAGAAACGAAGGAAGATGAGAAGCAAAGGGAACCTTTCCCAGAGCAACTAGCCCCTCGCAAAGAGAGAGAGAAAGAGAGAAAGAAAGAGAAAAAAGAGAAAGAAATATATATATATATAGAGAAAGAGAGAGAGAGAGAGAGAGAGAGAAAGAGAGCGAGTGAAGGAACGAAGAAGAAGAAAAAGAGAAGTAGTTTAATCGCACTTCTGTAAAAGGAAGAAATATTAAAACCAAGAGACAATAGAATAAAGAGAGAAGGAAAATAAAGAGAGATAGTGTCGATAGGTGGGAGGGTGTGCGCGCATAAAAAAAAAAAAAGCCCAAGGAAAAGAGATTGGCAGCCATATTTTCCCGACGTCGTCGTTTCATTCTATGGCCCATGGTGCCGTTTTTACTTGGAATCTTTAAAGCTGCTGCTCGTCAGCGACCTCGACGAGCCAACGTATTCGCGCCGCCGCCGTGTAGAAATTTAAAGAGAACGGCCGAGGATAGGAGTTAGTGTAAGAGCTCAGAGAGATAAAGACGGACGGGCAAAGAGAGAGAAAAAGTAGTAGGAGAAGAGAAGGATAGAAGGAGAGATAACGATAAGTTATCGGACGCTAATGATACGGCGTGGCGGCCGGAGAGAGTGTCGAGTGTGCGTGTAAACGGTGCTAGAAGAGCGCGAGAATCAATGGACGTACTTTCGTCTTGTTTTTTGGAAAAGAACAAGAAAAAAGAAAGAAATTAAAAGAAAAGACGAAGATCAAAGGTGGAGAATAAAATCATTACTATTACGTGTTACGTTATCTATGATATTCTAACGGCTAACGAGGAGAAAGAGACGGCAAGACAGTCGCGACATTCTTGTGAGAACAACGACGACGACGACGACGACGACGACGACGACGACGACGACGAGGACGACGAGGACGACGAGGACGACGGAGAAGAGGCCTTCGATCTTACGAAGAATTACATTTGATTCTTCGTGATTCATAATTCCTCGTCATTATCATCGTCATCGTCATCATCATCATCATCGTCATCTTCTTTTTCTTCATCTTCCTTCTCTTCTTCTACGTCGATAGGCTTACCCGTGAAAACGGAAATCTTTGGTATATCTCTCACATCGCACACAGTCACGCGATACCGCGTACATCAGCTCCACGAGATGGAGAGACGAGCTGCTTTTGTGCTCCTTGGAATGCTATATTTAGCGGGCACCCTCGAGTCGGTCCAGGCAGGTGAGTCCTAGACTTTCCTTCGAATTGCCCGCCGTTAGAGCGAG